TTGGTCTCTCCTGGACCATTATCATGTCAGCTGATTGAGAAAAATCAGAGACCAGAGGACAGGTTGGAAAGACCTGTCTTATGGTTTTCTCTGCTTTGTCTCACACAATTGTGATTTGAGAGTGTTCCAGGATGGACTGAAATGTGTCATATATTTCTTTTCTTAAGTGTGGGTCATTGTATATTGTTCCAGACACTGTATTGCAACTTAGTATTCATGGTGATTTTTCAGTAGGGTTCTGAAGTCACCAGGAGTCTGTACTTCCTCATTAGTCATTTCAGTACTTCATAGTTAGCCTTGGTTTGTCCTCATATCAGGTCTTTGATGTTTGGTTTGACCTACAATACAGTGGAACCTCGGTTTTTGTATGCCCTGGTTTTTATCCCAGTTTTCGTACATCCGCTCGGTTTTCGTAGAGTTGACAATGGTCCGCTGTACCAAATGCATCTGCCTGCCCACGCCCACACAAAGCATCTCATGCATTCTGGCTCAGTCTGGCTTTGTTTCTCGTTGAGTAGGCAAAGTGGAATGAGTTGCAAAGTTTTGTGGAGAAATATCACCCTAACAAAGCTGCTGCAAGCTGTGTCAGCAACATGTTCAATGACAATGCCTTGTCCCATTTTACGTAAATCTTAAGAGACGCCAGAAACAAACCTCTCTGGACAGATTTTTTGTGTGACAGGGGTCCAGTGACTCTCAAGCTGGTCCTAGTGCCAGTAAAAGACAAAGAAGGAAAGTAACCCCAGATAGGGCCTTGATACCTGAAGTCTTTATGGAGGGGGATTCCCCTTTCAAGCAATAACCTCTCCTCCCTCTCCCCTCCTCACCATCTTCCATACGCCAATAAGTCTCTTCAATAAAGGTAAAAGCGATTTAAATGCTCATTTATCCATTAAAATTAGTCATTTATATTTATTTCTCATTGTTTTCTGTATGTAAAATTATAGTTATTCTCTATGAAATGCATTTTTTGCTAATATTTTTGGGTGTCTGGAATGGATTAATTGGATTTGATTATTTCTTATGTGAAATATTTCTTCGGTTTTCGTCCATATCGGATTTTGACCGACTTTCTGGAATGGATTAAGGACGAAAACTGGGGTTCCACTGTACCAATAATTATCTAAATTGATGCAAATATTGAAAGTTCTTTATATATATATATTCAAAATCTTGAGAATACACATGCCTTGAAGAGTACTTTATCTTCATGGCTTGTCAACCATTGTTTTGAAGTTTCTTTTTATCTAGCCACTCATTTTCTTTGCCAGTTATTTTCCTTGCAAACTCTGGAACTACTGTATCATGTAGTGAGATAGGAAGGTATGCGTTTCTGACTGGACTGTTAACCCTTTCAGGGTTCAGAGGCCAAATTTCAGTGTGCACCAGGGTCCAAGAATTTAAAAAAAAAAAAAAAAATATTTTTTTCTTATGAAATGGTAGAGAATTTTTTTCTGAAGGTAATAAAACAAAAAGTACGATATTTGATGGAAAATTGACAAAATTAGGCTCGCGCGAATTTTGATGTGTCAGCGACATTTACGAATTGGCGATTTTGCCAACTTTGACTCCCATTTTAGGCCAATTGCATTATTCCAGTTGACCAAACTCTTAGCTATTTTACTAGTACAGTAGACCCCCGGTTCGCGATATTAATCCGTTCCTGAGAGCTCATCGCAAACCAAAATTATCGGAAAGCAAATCAATTTTCCCCATAAGAAATAATGGAAATCAAATTAATCTGTGCAAGACACCCAAAAGTATAAAAAAAAAAACTTTTACCACATGAAATATTAAGTTTAATGCAATAGAATAATTGCAATAACAACAATAACAATAAATAACAAAAGAATAATTGACACTTACCTTTAATGAAGATCTGGTGATGATTGATGGGATGGGAGGAGGAGAGAGTGTGGATGGTGTTAGCATTTAGAAGGGGAATCCCCCTCCATTAGGACTTGAGGTAGCAAGTCCTTTTCCGGGGTTACTTCCCTTCTTCTTTTAATGCCACTAGGACCAGGTTGAGAGTCACTGGACTTGTGTCACACAACATATCTGTCCATAGAGGCCTGTACCTCTCGTTCCTTTATGACTTTCCTAAAGTGTTTCACAACATTGTCAGTGTAATAGTCACCAGCACGGCTTGCAATAGCTGTGTGAGGGTGATTTTCATCCATAAAAGTTTGCACTTCAAGCCACTTTGCACATATTTCCTTAATCTTTGAAGTAGGCAACTTCTTCAATTTCTCTCTCCCCTCCTCTGAAGCAGTTTCCTCAGGTCTGGCCTCTTGCTGTTGAAGATGATCTAGCAGCTCATCAGTGGTTAGTTCTTCATTGTCTTCCTCCACCAACTCTTCCACATCCTCCCCACTAACCTCCAACCCCAAGGACTTCCCCAATGCCACAATGGATTCCTCAACTGGCATAGGCTTCTCAGGGTTAGCCTCAAACCCTTCGAAATCCCTTTTGTCTACACATTCTGGCCACAGTTTTTTCCAGGCAGAGTTCAAGGTCCTCTTAGTCACTCCCTCCCAAGCCTTACCTATAAGGTTTACACAATTGAGGATATTAAAGTGATCCTTCCAAAACTCCTTTAGAGTCAATTGAGTTTCTGTGGTCACTTCAAAGCACCTTGAAGTTGCAAATAGCCTGCTGGTCCATGGGCTGCAGGAGAGGAGTGGTATTAGGAGGCAAAAACTTGACCTTAATGAAACTCATGTCCCCAGAAAGTCGCTCTGCCAAGTCTATAGGATGACCAGGGGCATTGTCTAATACCAGGAGGCACTTAAGGTCTAATTTCTTTTCAATTAGGTAGTTTTTCACAGTGGGGGAAAATGCATGGTGTAACCAGTCATAGAAAAAGTCCCTAGTGACCCATGCCTTACTGTTTACCCTCCACAGCACACACAAATTAGCCTTGAGGACATTCTTTTGCCTGAATGCTCTGGGAGTTTCTGAGTGATACACCAATAAAGGCTTCACTTTGCAATCACCACTAGCATTGGCACACATCAACAGAGCAAGCCTGTCTTTCATAGGCTTATGTCCTGGGAGTGCCTTTTCCTCCTGAGTAATGTAGGTCCTGCTTGGTAATTTCTTCCAAAACAGGCCTGTTTCATCACAATTAAACACTTGTTCAGGTTTCAATCCTTCAGCCTCTATGTACTCCTTGAATTCATGCACATATTTTTCAGCCGCTTTGTGGTCTGAACTGGCAGCCTCACCATGCCTAATCACACTATGTATGCCACTACGATTCTTAAATCTTTCAAACCAACCTTTGCTGGCCTTAAATTCACTCACATCACCACTAGTTGCAGGCAATTTTTTTACCAAATCGTCATGCATCTGCTTAGCCTTTTCACAAATGATCGCTTGAGAGATGCTATCTCCTGCTATCTGTTTTTCATTCATCCACACCAATAACAGTCTCTCAACATTTTCTAACACTTGCGGTCGCTGTTTTGTAATCACAGTTGCACCTTTTGCAAGAACAGCTTCCTTGATTGCCGTTTTCCTGGTCACTATAGTAGAGATGGTTGATTGGGGTTTACTATACAACCTGACCAGCTCCGACACACGCACTCCACTTTCGCACTTTGCAATTATCTCTTTCTTCATTTCAATATTCATTAACACCTTTTTTCTCAAAGGGTTGGCACTAGAAGCTTTCTTGGGGCCCATGGTGACTTATTTTGCAGAAACAAGCACCACAAACAGTGATAATATGGAATGTACAGAATGTATCCTTAGATGCGCGCACACTGGCTGGCTTGTAAACACTGGCACACACGGGGCAGTTCAGGCCACACGTGGACACATCTTGTACAAACTGCATCGCATACTGGGTTTTGTATCGGGAAGCGAGGCAAATTTTCTGTGATATAATGCATCGGTTACAGGATTTATCAGATACCAATAGCATCGCGAACCGGGGGTCCACTGTATTACTTCTAGTCTATCGAGTGAGCACAACAAATCGCCCAGTCAACTGTTTCAACTACAAAATAAAGTGATCGGAAATTAGTAATTTTGTCAATTTAACACAAAGTTCGAAATATTCCAATTTCAAAATAGGGTCCAGAATAAACAATGTAGGCATTCCTGGCACTAAACTAACATTTCCTCTGTTCATTAGTTATGTTTTCAGGCTTTACAAATGAATTCCATTTTGATTTTTTATTCACGTAATGAATTTTTATCCAAACCAAAAAATAGAAGATTTATTGTTATGCAATATTGTAATAATTGTATAAATATCATCACCACATTTGTGAATGTATATTAGACCCGCCAGCTGTATTAGACGTGTGAGGTCATTTGTTTACTCTTGAACATCGGCAAAAATTTAACATTTCCGCTACTTTGAGCTCAGTTTCAAGCCATTTCCCGTACTAAAGCCAATCAAAATCATCTCTATTTCTGTAATATATCTTCGATTCTATCAAATGAGACCAAGAAATCGCAAATACAACTATAAAAAACATACGAAAAAACACTGCAAAGTTCCTGTTTTAATCGAAAATCACAGTCTCAGTTTTTTTTCTCTCATTATATACTGTGTGCTGCAGGATTTGTTTTATGTGGTGCACACATACCACATAGATGTATTCTCTTATATCTAGGCCCAAATTTACCACTCACAGCTTATCAGAGTGAGCTGAGCTCATGGCGTAGATCTACGGTTTGGACCCTCAATGTAAAGCCGTAGATCTACGGCACAGACCCTGAAAGGGTTAATTAGTGAACCAGTTATGCTTTCATCACAAGTCAGTAAGCATATAGCAACATTGAAAACTAACTTTAATTAAATTAGAAATTCAATTAATGTCTGAATATCTGAGCTGGAATCACTTGATTGTCATCCAGATATACACTAACCATTCTAACACCATGGCCAGTACGTGAATAAGATGAACAAGGATCTAGAAATTAAAATATAATATAGTTTTGTAAATTCATTGTTTGTAAGTTTAGTGTTGCTTTACTACCACCAGGGCATGTGTTCAGAAGTACCTGTTGGAGAAGTCCAGGATCTGTTCTCAAGCTCACAATGAGCGCAGTTATCATGTCTTCTATTACCTTCTTGCTGGGGCATCTTCACAAGTACGTCAAGCCCTTCACCTTCTAAAACCAGCTGACTACCGCTACCTCAATCAGGTTAGCATTGTAACTCTCTTGTATATACAAACATTTTCAGTTACTAGGTTTAGTTTTTTAATTGATACTGTATATGTTGCTGATAAGAATGTCCCTAATACACATCTATGTTTCTGATAAGAATGTCCCTAATACACATCTATGTTGACAGTACATGTAGCAGTTTTATTCAAAGTCTTGTAATGATTTTCAATACATTTCCAAACTGTGCTATCATATTTTATTTTGGGCAAATTAAATGTTTAGTATTAAAGTCATCTGACAAGATGAGCCTTTATTATGTATAGTTTTGCTCTTGAGCAAAATGTTCAGTAATGATTTACTCTGCTAAGTGTCTTCTTTTTTTGCGTTTGAGGACAGTTAACCTATCATTCCACATTTACATTTCATGTTATTAAAATGAAGAATTATTAGCATTTAAAACATGATGATGAAGTATTTTGAAATAAAAGAAGTGGAAGAGATTATTTAAGTACAATATACAGTGTTATAAGTGTGTCAGATCATTAAATAACTAGATTCAGTAGAATGAGTATAAAGAAATACTCTCAGACATTCTGTGCCTAAGGTGGTTGTAGAGGGGTTAGCATGTTAGGTATTGCAAATCAGATATGATCATGACAAAGATTTTGATATGCTATAACAATATACACTCAGTGACCACTATTTGGTGTTCAGCCCAAACATTAGAATTGGGAAGAAATGTGATCTGAGCGACTTTGATTGTGAAATGATTGTTGGTTCCAAATGGGGTGGTTTGAGTATCTCAGAAACTGCTGATCTGGGATTTTCATGCACAACATTCTTTAGAGTTTACAGAGAATTCTGTGAAAAACCCAAAACATCCAGTGAGTGGCAGCCCTAGGGGCAAAAATGCCTTGTTAATGAGAGAGGTCAGAGGAGAATCGCTAGACAGGTTCAGTCTTAGAGGAAGGCAAAAATAAGTTAAAAGATCAGTCATTACAACAGTGGTATGCAGAAGAGTGTCTCTGAATGCACAGCAAATTGAAGTGGATGAGATTCAGAAGCAGATCATACTAGGATACACTCCTGTCAGCTAACAACAGGAAGCTGAGGCCAATGAGGCATTGGTGAGCCAGAGAGGCATTGGCTCCTCAAAACTGGACAGTTGAAGGCTGGATAAGTGTCGCCTTGTCTCATGACGCCTGATTTCTGCTGCAACATTCAGATGGTAGGGTAAGAATTTGGTATAAACCTTTGGGCTGTGGTGAAATAGGAGATTTGCAGCATTAATGTGCAGCTGACATATCTGCAGCAACTGCATCATGCTGTTATGTCAGTGTGGACCAGAATCTCTAATTAATGTTTCCAGCACTTTGTTGAATCCATGCCATGAAGAATTCAGGCTGTTCTGGGAGCAAAGGGCAGGGGGGGGGGGAGGCTCTTACTCGGTACTAGATGGGTGTACCTAATAAAGTGGCCAGTGAGCGTATTTGCTGTAATTATAAATGTTGATCTAAAAGAAATTATATATTTGAGGGTAATTAGAATAGGGATGGGACAATATCAAAATTTTTTTTTTAATGCCGATACTCATTTTTAGGCTGATACCAATACCATCAAAATAGCCACTACTTACCGATATTGGCACTGATACTGATACCATCAAAATTAACTGATACTGATACTTCGGCACATCCCTAGTAAAGACTGAAGGATATTTGGAGGTATATACAGTAGGATCATTACCTAGTTGTAGCTACAGTTAGAGTAAGAGGTAGATGGGACAAGAGGAAAATGGCAACAACAAGTAAGAGGGAGGTGAAAGTGTATAAACTAAGGGAGGAGGAAATTCGGGTCCCACCCACGGCCTCCCCTCCTGGCACCCTCACCTTCTTTCCACAGACCCCTATCTCCCAGCTCACCACCCCACCGCACAGCCCCCTCCTCCTATTGTCCCTACCCTCTACCCAAGGATATCCACCGCCCAGCCCATCCATCCTACCAGCCACCCCACCACCAGCCGCACATAATAAATACACCATCCACCACATACACCTGTTTTAAAAGTAATCATAGCCAGGAATAAAGGTTGTTGTATATGTGAAAAAATCTTTGGGAGAAACATGAGGGGCATTGATTGTGAAATATGCGGTAAAACATCACATATGTCATGTACAAAGCTTCCTGCAACCATGACAAATGACCAAAAACAAGAAAGTCGTTTCTGGATTTGCCTCAGTGAAAGGGACAGCTGGTTAAGCGTAAGAGAGGTACTGAAAAGTGAAAACATAGAAAGCGTAATGAAGTTCCTAAGGAGCTTGCCAGAGCTATACAAAGAGTGGAAAACAAGGGAAAAGGAACAAGAAAAGGAGGAAAATGCAAATAGAGGTGAAAACCAAGGAGTGAAAGCAAGAGCAAGAGTAGAAAACGTCATACAGAGCAAGTCGGAAAAGGAAACAGGGATACTTAACATAGCGGAAAGGGGAAGGGAGGATGAGAAAACTAGAACATGAACAAACAAAAATGAGCAAAGGGAAGAAATTATCCTAGAAGAAAGTGAACAAGGGAACTCAGATCAGGTGGCAGAACTTAGGAACGACACAGAATCAATAAATGTAGGTAATCAGAACATTTGCAGTTACTATGCTAAAGGTATGTGCCTATATGGCAGAGATTGTTGGAATAAACACACCAGAAAATGTGCGAACATGTTGAGGAAGGGAAAGTGTTGTTTCAACAAAGAGTGCAGGTACTTCCATCCAGTAATGTGTAAAGCTTCAACGTAGTCCAGAGAATGTTATGACCTGAGCTGCCCAGACAATCATGTAAAAGGAACGCAGCGCTATAGAGTTAGCAGAGAAAGGGAAATTGAACAGCATTCTTTTTTAGACAAAAAGAGAAAAGATCAAAACAAAGGAAGAGACAAACAGGGGGAATGGTACAGAGAGGACAGGTGGGCAGTAAAATGGGGTGTACCAAACCAGGCATCAGCCCGTCAAGGCCGAATAAGCAAACAAACGTGAAGCCAGTACTGAAGAAACCAGGGGCGTGTACACCAGGGGACTTACCAGGTAGTACAGCATCAGTGGTACTAATGAAACACAAAGTGAGCCAAAACATCCCACTTGGTAATTCCTGCTTCATATTTGCAAATATACAGGGTTTGAAATCAGATAAAAATGACAAAGTTAGTTATGTCAGTGTGCTCCTGACAGAAGTGAATGCCATATTCGGAGCATTTACAGAAACACATACAAGGGATGTTTTGGATGGAGAGATAAAGATAGAAAACTACAACATGTATAGATGTGATAGAATCAATAGGTCACAGGGAGGAGTAGGAATCTATGTAAAGGATACTTTCTGTTCCACAGAAGTGATGAACTCTACGAATGATATAGTAGAAATTCTAGGCATTAAAGTTGAAAATAGGAATTTGGTAATTATCCTAGTATACAAACCACCATCAGCAACTGCTGAGGAATTCACTGATCAGTTAAGTAAGATAAATAGCTATCTGGATAGGCTAGAAAGTCCTACACCAAATATTTTACTCCTTGGAGATTTTAATCTCCCTCATGTAAAATGGAAGATGGCACAACATAATGTTATACCAGAAATATCTCCGGGAAGCATCCTGGCTCAACAGGTACATACCAGGGAAATAATGAGGCTTTGTGAAAAGTACTCTTTAAACCAACAGGTAATTGATCCCACTAGAAATGAAAATACCCTGGATTTGATATTCACAAACAACAAGGAACTGATCAGAGATCTGTAAGGATTTAATGTTAAGAATTAATCTAAGTCTGCCCGAAATGCCTAGCCATGCTAGGTGTCCTAGTGGCCCCCCTCTGTAATTAGTATTTTATAACATGTAAACCACAGAATACCCAAAACCTGTAAACCCCCACATTGTAACCCTTATAGAGAATAAACTTGAATTGAATAACAGTTTCCAAAACTATTTACTCTGATCATAACATCATAGAGGTTCAAACTAGTATTAACTCAGGGGTAGGAAACTGCATCGCTAAAGTTAGAGACGGGATGTTCAGTAAGTTTAATTTTAACAACCATAGAATTAACTGGGAAAAAATAAACCAAGAGCTATCAGACATACCCTGGGAATCAGACATGAGCACCCTAAATCCCCACCAGTGCCTAGAGAAGCTGAATACAGAAGCATACAAAGTACATATGAAACATGTCCCATTGAGGAAACCCAGAGGAAGATCAGATATAGAGAGAGAGCATAGGAGATAGTACAGAAGAAGAAAATGAATTACTAAACTGCTTAAAAAAACAAATATACTACAACAGAGGAAAGATAGACTTAGCAGAGAGATCACTGAATTAGAGCAAAAACTTAGGATGTCATAACTCACAGAAGAAGTACAAAGGGAACAAAAGGCCATACAGGATATTGCAAGAAACCCAAACTATTTCTATTCCTATGCAAAATCCAAGCTAAGAACTACCTGTAGAATTGGACCACTACTGAGAGGAGACTCGTATACCGATGATGAACAGGAAGTGAGTGAAATCCTAAAAGAACAGTATGAGTCGGTGTTCAGCAACCCACTAAATGACAGCAAGGTAGAAAATGCAGAAATATTTTTCACTCCTGAAGAAGGCTGCACAGACCAACTAACTGACATAAGTACAAATACCATAGATTTCGAAAAAGAAATGGAAAACATGCCCACTCACTCAGCACCTGAATCAGAGTCATGGAATGCTCTATTTATAAAGAAGTGCAAAGTACCACTAGCACGAGCCCTCAGTATTCTTTGGAGAAAGAGCTTAGAACTAGGTGAAATACTGGAGGCCTTAAAGAGTGCAGACATAGCTCCTTTGCACAAGGGAGGTAGTAGAGGACAAGCTAAAAATTACAGACCAGTAGCCCTAACCTCTCGCATCATAAAAATCTTCAAAAGAGTGATGAGACGGCAGGTTACAAATTTCATGGAGCAGCACAACCAACATAGCCCGAACCAGCATGGTTTTAGAGCAGGACGATCATGTCTGTCACA